CTGACAGTCCAATGGACTGGACTGGACTGGAACACGTGTTCCAGTGGACTGGACTAACCCAAGTGACAACCCTGGATATACTATATTGTTACGAAACAATAAGGCATGGGCATTGTCTTCTAAAAATATCATACATAATATCAAAATAATGCTTATGCGCATCTCAAAATGACATGCATCCTATTAGGGTTTCTACAAATAATTAGATATAATAAGCAAGTTTTGGAGGAATTTTATCTTGCCTCAAAATAATGCCCATGTGTATATTCTAAATAATGCACATATACTCAAAATAATGTGCAGGTGGACGTTATTTCGTGACATTACAATAAATAATAACCCAAATTCATTATATTTTAAAGAATTCATTTAATATTTTGTATCTGGTTTGCTCTGGTTTATTCCAGTTCTTATAAAACCAAATATATTATTTATATAGTTGCTTTAATCTCCAGCACAGGATTTATACTATTAAAAAGTTTAAAAGACAAATATGTGAATAATAAGAATATTAAAAAAGCATACACGAAATAAGTTCTGATTTAAATTTTATTATAATTTTAACATAAAAAGTATTTTATAATAAATATGTTTAATAATTATATTAAAATATAACGATAATGTAATTCATTCTTCATTTGATCAATATACCAGTATTTGAAATCCAAAAGATCATTTACTAACAGTCCACGCATAACTTTGATTTATACAGTTAACTGTGCAACTCAATCATTAACCATTTCTCTTGTTCAGAATTACTATAAGAATCACATACTAGAGAATCAAACTATTATACATTATTATAACTTTAAAGTCAGGTTGAAAAATCCACATGTAAAATTTATTAGTTTGCAAACTTTTTACTCATATAAGAAAATATTAATGAAACCAATAAATAGATAAGTTTCAAGACACTTGGCCAATTCTTCGGGAAATTCACAAGGAACAAACATAATGTCGGAATAAGAAATTATTCTGTCATAAATATATCATTAATTAAAAAATTATTAATACATTTAATTTTAAATTGATAGAATATAAATAAGAATTATATAACTTACTTGATAATAATTTTAAATCATTCTGCTACTATATTCATTTAAGATCGTGATTCAAAGTTAGTAATTTTTCAAAACATTATTTTTCACAAAGCTAATAGTAATATAAATTTTAATTCATCCTTTAAAATCATAATAGATTAAATTCTCTAAAAAACAAAAAAAATAGGTGCATCCAGTGAATTATCGAATAATTCTGACAAATTCCATTTTGCTAATGGATCATCTGCTAGATAAATCATGCGTCTACAAAATTCAAATTCTGGTGGTTCATCACTGACAATTTCGCCATTTTCTAAACGATTTTCAAGATCCAATGTTTCAATCCAATCCTCAACTACATTCGACCAATGCTCTTTATCATCAGAGGTTTCAGAATCATTTATCATGCCTTCTCCAGTTATTTCAACTGCTTTAGTCAATTTTGATTCAGTCATTTCACTTGGCTCAGTTAGCAGATCATCAGGTTTAATTTGTGGATTGTCAGGTTCAATTGGCAGATTGTTAGAAGTTTGTGAACCAATTTTGTTATTACTTGTAAAAGGTTCCTCTAATTCTTGTGAAATATCTTCCTTATTATTATTAGATTGTATAGGGGCCGCAATGTGAATTCATTTAAATTGTCATTCAGATTGTTCAATGTCATGATGTTTTCGCTTGCTTAAGATGTCACTACGCAATTGGCTTATTGCTAGCACTTTTTCATACTTAAAATGTTGAATTTAGATTAGCTATATAAACTTAATTTGAGAACAATATTTATATATATAGGCAAATGATTTCGATATTTCGTATGTAAAAAACTCATCGTAGACCATAACTGTTCAACAGAGGCTGAATTAACACATATTCCGAATAATTGTAAAGCTAGTCGAGATAGTTCTGGTGTGAGACCTCTTGCTGATTCCCAAAAATCAATAATGTTCTTATCAAATTGACTGTAAGTTTCTTTATTGAAAGGAAATACTTCTCTCTGGTATAATAAAAATTCACACAAAATGCGTTTTGGTATTTCTTCAAACCACAAATAGTAATAATAATTCAGCCATTATCCAAAATGCATATAAAAGAGGTCAGAAATACTGGAAGAAAACTTTGAAAGCTGATAATTTGGGTGCAAACCTAATGATAATAAAAGTAATAGCTGTTCCTATTGAAACCACTGATTTTCTAAACAGTTTACCATATGATCTGAAAAATCTTCATTATCATGGTTTTTAAAAACCTTAACAAGCCATCCAAAACAATGTGCAACTTCATACAACCTTGCGACATCTTTCTGAAGTTTATTTAATACACAATACAAAGGAAATAGCAAATCCTGAAGATCGTAAAGCCAGTTCCAAAGGTGTGAATTTTGTATAATCGATATAATATCAGGTGAAAGTGTTTTAATCTCATTAGTATTTTTTGATATAAATCGTTGCCATGATAGTTTACTTCATAATATACTAATTGTTCTAATTCTTGTTGGTGAACACTTTGTTGCAAGTGTCTATTCATATAGAAATATGAATAAATCAAAAAATATTATCAAAATTATTTTGGTACACAAAAATACTTTAATAAAAAAAAAATTAATAAGTATTTACTTTGAGCGCGGCTTCAGTTTTTAGTATAAAATGGAAACAAAAATAAATGCTATTCTAACGTGTCTCAGCTGGCATAAGAAGAGAGACAAATTGCCTATAACATGATTTTTGCTCATCTTGTAGCAATACTGTGAAATACGGTGATAAATAAAAATAGCTTACAATGCGTATAGCACTTTTTAATGTTCTTTTATATATATTGGACTTTTTAAAAATATCACCAATAACTAAGTTCATTTGATGTGCCATGCAAGATAAGAAAACTTTTTCGGAATATTCAATCCTTAACTGTCATCTATAAAAAAAAAAATTTCAATTAAAAATAATTTATTATAAGTAATTAATACATATTTAATATTTACCTTGCAGCTGCGTATTTGCCAGCTGAATCTGATACGAAGCAGTTAATTTTTATGCCTTCAATTTTAGCATTATCCATTACAGTTTTAATAAGAAGTTTTATGTCTTCAGTTCTTGAACATTGATTACTAATATTGAATGCATTTCAGATTAATGCTTCACTCTGAGAAGTAATTAAAACCACACCAAAAAGATGCTCTTGCTTGATGTTGGTTCAGCCATCAAAGGCTGCAGTTACTCCAATCTTGTCAGCACGTACACGCTGTAAAATATTCTCAGTCAATGTTGTTGAAGCCTTTGAAAGAATTTGATCACTTATCACATGTCGGTTTGGCAACTTTAAAGTTGGCATAATAAAATTGAAAACATCTTGTGTCTCTTGGTTTTCCATAAAGGTAAAAGGGTGACCATTTGACACAATCATTCATAATATTAAATTTTCAAAATGTTGATTGTCTTTGTCAGATAGTTGACGTATAATGTAATTGTTAACAGGTGCTTGCCGTTTTACTTTTGATAGTGTGGGCTTGCTAGATAACAAATTTGTAAATAACAAATTGGATGTCGATATCTTAGAAGTTTTGGTGAAATCTTCTTCATCTGACTCAGAATTATTTTTTCCTGCTACTATTAATAGTAAGTAATTATAATCTTATATAAACAATATACAATATTTAATATAATTACCTTTGTTATTTTTTTTTTTAGTGTCTTCAAATACTGATCAAGCAAGAATTTCCACAATCTCATCTGTATTATATTGTGCATTAAAATTTGGACAAGTTCGAAGATGGCTTCTACATAACTTCACCTTATTGGAGACAAAGCACTCAGGCTTCATAATAGCAACAGGTAAGTTGTAGGCTCATATACATGAAAGACAAACTGCCTTCTTATTTGCTCTTGGATTGTCAGATGCAGCCAAATGAAAAAATTCCCGAAAATTGTATTCTTTTTTACCCATCGTGACTTGCACGAGAAAAAAAAATTTTTTGTGATACTACATTTATAAGGTGCCTCAGATGATGATAAAACATGAGTTCCTTTTCCATTTATGAAGTTCCCTCCTTGAACAACCATACCTATTTTATTGAGTGACTTTATTATTATTATTATTTTAATTTTTTATTTTTTATTTTTTTTTAATTTAATTTTTTTTTTGAACATGAATTAATTTTATTATATTTCAAATATCCTTCTGTGTTAAATCGGCACTAAGCTCACCCTTTCAGTCGAGATGATAATTAACCGTTGAATTGTTTAATGTTTGGCTTTTTATACGTACAAGAAAGAAAGCAGTGTGGTATTTTTATTACTAATAAAAACATTTTATTTATACGTATTACATTATTAACTATTAATAAGCTTTTAGATAATCACATAACTATTCACATTGTTCCAATTTCCATTTGTGTTTAATGCAATAGCCTCAATGAATTTTATGGCTACAGCCAAATCTGTACAATCTCAATGCATTATTAATTTTTAATTAAATGTGTAATAGTAATTTTAGAATTAACATATTTCAATTAGAAGCAATATTCGAACTACTGTACAGGTAAATTAATCAGAACCGAAGAATAATTAAAGTAATAAATTATAAAATACATGTTATAATAATAGAGTAAATATGCATGTTATAATTTAAAATTAAATATATCAATTAATTATATTATAGCCTGCTTCGATGCTTTAGGTTTCTACTATATTACAGTCAACTCTCGATATACCAGTGGTTACACAGACTGTAGATCCTACTATAAAAAATTTAATTTATATTATTTAGAATAAGATTGATAGTCTGTGTAACCACCAGTATATCAAGAGTTGACTGTACTACTAATAACTCAAATAACCTTCAAATTACTCTGGTCATTTGCAAATGACCATGGTCATTTGGTTATGAGTCATTTGCAAATGACCTGAAATTCAAATGACCTGTAATGACTAGTCATTTCAGGGTCATTTGAGGTCATTTGAAAAATTTTCAAATGACTAGGTCATTTACCATCACTGTAGTAAAGTGAATAAGTTGTCATACTCCCAAGTGGTAGATTGTAAGTTTAAAACCCACTAATAGTGAAATTTGAATAATCATCTATGTAATATATAGACAGTATTACGGTAACAGCATTCTGTCGATCAGTTGAGATAGGATACCTGTAACTATGGTCACACCAGCATGACTGGCAGGTCTGGGACATCTGTGTAACTTGTTACACAGAGGAATGCAAACTGGTATCAGATGGTGCAAACCTAAAATAAGTTCTCGGGCTGTGTAAATCTGTAGAACTGAGAAGCCAGAGTTCATTTAGAAATTCTGAGCAAAGAGGTAATACAGCTCTTTGACAGTACTACTGTAAAGGCTAGACCTAGGAAATGAATACTAATGTGAAGGATTCAGATAGGCAAGAACCTTGGGTGAGAGGTATTACCAACTAGGCTGCCAGATTTCGAACTAGAAGAAAAGAATATTGAGCTGGCCTCAATATACCAAGGACAGGTCACAGTCCTTCTGGGATATCTGGATTGGGAGTCTGGGTTCAAAGCAGAGGTATACTAAAAGTACTAGAGATATGCTATGAAGTTAGTGCTAGAGTCTGAGTGAACTCTGCAAGAATAGCCTGTGTTAGTGTTCTAAAAATAGATAGATAGTTAACAACAGGGAGCCCCTTGCACCTTACTGGCAGATGAAGTACTCTAAAATGTGTAATGGCCTGGGAATCAGTACAAAAAAAGTAGGTACCATACTGCTCAAACAGTATACTGGTTAGGTATATATGGGGGTTAGTTGGAGATTCTAATATAACAGGGCAGATGATTAGAGGGTTTAAAATAGATAATTTCCTAGTAGGTTATAGGTACAGCATCTAGTGTAGAACCCTAGAGTGGACTACTTAAATAGGCAAACAAAAGTTGCACATGTGACTAGCTGTACTCTCATCTCTGTAAAAATAGTTGTAATAGCTAACCCAATATAAAATCAATAAAGTATCGTCACAAGTATAGTTTTTAAAAAAAAACAAAAAAAAAAAACAAATAAAATGCCAAAAAATAAAATTAACAACAAACTAAATAAAACCTATACTAACCAAGTAACAAAAAGAAGATATACACTTCTTCTTAGAACAAAAATTAATATAAAAAATAGGCAATTTGATGCACTTTTGTTAGAAAACATAATGATATTATTTACACAAATGATAACAATAACAAACTAATTTTAACAGATTCTAAAAATGCAAGTGCAAACATAAAGGCAACAACAATAAGCAAATAATTATTTCTTATAATAGCCTGTCTCACATTATCATAAATAGCAACAATATATGCTTATAAATGCAAACACAAATTCAATTACCAAAAATAATAGTAAAATAATTATTTAACATGCAAAAAACATCCAAATAACAACTAGTTAAAACAATATGCATAATAATAAAAAAAACAACAATACAATAAAAACTAAATTAGTTGATATAATAGTTAGTTATTTGACAAAATTTAAACTTCAAACTTATAGTTAAATAATTAAACAAAATATTGTAATAAAAAAAAGCATGCAAACTAATAATAAGCAAGATTATAACTAATTATAAATTAACACTATTCAACTAAATATTAAAAAAAATAGCATTAAACCTTTTAATACTACTAAATAGGATTATGATAAAATTATAAAATTACTTAAAACCAAACAAAAAATAACTGAATTTGTAACTTACAAATTACAACAAAATATACTAACTATACAATTCATTTTACAATTAAAGCAAAATTTAAATATCTAGATACTGCATTTTTTTTTACTTTTATAAAAATAAAAAAATTTATATCTCTACATTAAGCTATCTATAAAGAATTGTTTAGAAAAGCATTAACAATATACAAAAACCTAAATATAATCATTATTATAGACAAAACAACCAAAGACTTAATATACTAAACTTTGACAAAAAGCTATAATAGATTTTATTACTAACAAAAACTTTAATGCAGTAACTTTTAAAAAAGTTTCCAAGTAATCAAATATTATAGAAAATTTACAAAAAAACAAATACTTGTCAAAACAGAAGATATCCAAAAAGCAATTCAAACAGCTTTTGTAATACAACTTAAATCTTTTTTTGCAAACTCAAGGCAAATATCTAAAAACATCATACAAATGCTATCATTTAAGCTACCAATTAGTTAGCATATATATACAAAGGCTATTGTTACTCTACTGTATAAAATTTTCTATTTTAACTAATTATTAAAGAAATATTTTATTAAACTGAAACTATTGTTAACAAAAATATTAAAACTAGACTTAGTATTAAAGACCTATTTTCAATTACAAGTTATAGTGCATTACAAAATCTAGCATTTTATAAAAAAGTCTACAGAACTAGTATAACTGTACAACTATTTTATCAAATACTTTAATCTTCTATTTTTAAGAAAACCTCTTATTAGAACCTTAGTAGCAAATATAAACTTTATTTTCTTATCAATGTGCAAGATCAAAATATAAACTTACTAAACTTAGTACAATGGCTAAGAGAAGACTATTATTTTAAGAATATTTCAAATAACTACTTTAAAGCCAAGCCATCACTTACAAAAAACATAAAAATAATACAAATTAAAAATACTTTTACATAAAATTGGACTTTATAGTTTAATATTAAAACTACTAATTTTTTATATACTAGATCAACAGTTTAAACTAGGCTAAAGGCAAAAATCTTAGGATTTTAACTCTGTAATTTAAAATAGAAGCTAAATTAAATATGAAGCCCTGTAGAAAGTTCTAAGATAAAGTACAAAAACAGATTAAAAATTTCTAAAAGAAGACTACCTTTGCAAAATAAAGGTACTATATATAATAGCAGCATTACAAAAGATTTAGCTATACAATAGTATTGTGCAAGTAAGTCTCTAAAAGACAGAGCAGCATCAACATCTTTGTATCTAACTTATAGAATACTTGATTAAAAAAAAAATACTAAATAATTAAAGTAGTAAGTGATAAAATATATGCAAAAAAGATTTGTAACAAAGGATTAGTTTAACCAAAATTGGAACATCTTAGAAAAATACTCCAAAAGTACTTAATAAATATTCTTCAAAGCAGTTATACATTACAACTTAAATAATAAATACCATACTTATATACAATAAGTTAAGATTTTAGACTTTCTTGCAACATCAAGCTGATAGCATATTGGTATATAGTTAGTAGTACATTTATAAGAAAATTTGTAAATAACATATATAATTAAGTTATAGACTAAACTAACTATGAAAGTATATTTAAAAAAGATATATAGTAAACTGCAAATTAATAATTCAGAGTTTAATAAATTCAGTTATATCAATAAGGTACTAGAAAGTATATATAATCATATATACTAAACTGATAGCAAGAAAAGCAAAAAACTGCTAGAATTAACCAATTTGGAAAAAGAATAGGGTACTATAAGTAGAAGATAAAAAGACTGCTATTGGGCTAAAAGTAAGAGAAAATTCAGGTATAATAAGATAATCTACAGCCTTTCTAGTAGTTTAGTAATAATGATTAAAATATATAATAAAGGTTATAAAAAAAAGAATATATAGAAAAATGTAGTTGTAATATTATGTTGGATGTCTAAAGCTAGTAGTAATCTAGTAGCACAAATGTAAAAAAACTATATATAATAGTAATGCAAAAAAACTAAATAAAGTATAAGTTACAATTTGACATTATAAAAAAAAATAAAAAAAAATACTTTAATATTTTTAATACGAGAAGATACAACTGCAAAGCACTTTGTTAACCAAATTTTCTTTGTTTACAAATTTTCATTTTTATATTTATTAAACATTATGATAGCAAATTCTACTGATAAACCTTGGCTATCTAATAACCTATAACTTATTAACAACTACAATATTACTATTTTTATAACTTTAAGAAAACAGTTAGTTAATACAACA